ATGGTACCCTTTAGGACTCTTACTAATTTCCCTCAGAGTTCACATTCTTGTTGGGAACTGAAGTAGCACACACTGCAAATGCTGATGTTTGTGTTTCCATGTGAAATATTACCCCAAGTTGTGGATTACTTCTGAACCCTTTTCCTTAGGCTAGACATGTTCTTGAGCCCCAGGGTTACAGACAGATGCCTTTGACAGAGCTTGTGCCACTGGAGCCTCAATGAGGGCTTTGTCAAGCGCTGAGCCCGCGGCTGGGACAGAGCTGAGCTCCTGAGAGGCAAAGGCCTCTGATCAGCATCGGTATTTCATGCAGCAGCTATGAAACCTCAGTCATAGTCTTAAAAGAATTCTGGATGATACAATGTACTTATCCCCAAGAATTTTTTTTTAGGGTTTTAAAGCCCAGAAGAAAATGGAAAAACCTCAGGCACCGATGTCTCCAATTAGGAGCAAAGTAAATGTCAAGGCTGTTGTGATCAGGGGGACAGATTTTAAAAATCCAAATCAAGAGGAGATTTTTGTGATGGTTTTCTGCTGAAAAGAACTGTACAGAATCCAGTTAGGAGGATCATGGAGTGACCCAGAATTTGGTATGAAAATGGCTCTGTCCCTGCGTTTCTCCAGAGGGTCTGGGGCGAGGAGCTCGATCACACTAAGCCGTTTCAGTATCATCCTTAAGAAAAGCTTCATGGGTTCCTTGAAAACAGACACAGTTCATCCTCTTTATAGAGGCAGAAGGCGTCCTTTTCCATGTATTGAAACAAAAACAAAAATAACTATGCTTAAACATCTGTTCCCGAGGGAGTGACTCTTCCTTTCTAAATAAGAAGAAATCATTTTCATGTAGGGATCAACCTTACTGTAACCTTAAAAAGCTGAAGGAAGAAGAAAATGGGCAAGGGCCAATAGAGCAGCTTTTTCAGACAGTTTAGGAAAAAATTTGTTCAATCTTTTTAATAAATCTTTAAAGAAAATATTTGTGCCCATTAAAAAATGGTGACGCCCACAGTGAACTCAAGATCTTAGTGTTGACTGCCGCAAACAGACCAGCGTAAGTCAGAGGCCGCACTTCAGCGGGCCGGTGTTTCTCCTCTGCAGGATCATCACACCGCAGGGCGGGACTGGCCTAATCGACTTCCCCGCCGTCAGTGTGGGTGAGGTGGCTGCATTCAGCTCTCTGAGCAGACGACTGCGCTCTTAGAGCACTGGGGCCAGGAGAACCCTCATGCCATGGTCGACAGAGGCAGCAAGCCATGCAAGCCAGTTTTGCCTGTGCTCTGCTGGATACTGAGGAGTGGACAGGTAGAGAGGAGAGGGGTCTCATATCACGCCTGTCCTGCCCAAGCCTCCCTGTCCTGCCCCTGGAAAGCCTCAGTGGGTCACAGTAAAGACAAAATGCCCGGAGTCCTGTGACAGTGCCCTACATGTTTGATGGAGAGCAATTTCTTGACACGTGGCACGTTCCCCTTGCTCCCAGGACCAGTGGCAGTTTGAGATGTTTGGTGAGATCGACCCTGCTGCTGCTTTTTCATGAGTAAGGACACCAAGGCCTCAGAAGTCGCTGTTCCTAGAAAGTGCTTATGCACCCCACACTGCATCCGCCTTTAGGAGGTCAGTGTTTGTGACCACCCCTGAGAATACAGGAACTGCCATGTAATCACCCGGGTGCTTCTTTCACCTGTATTTTTGCAGAACACATCTGTACTCTCTTAGGAGCCTGGGCCTCCTTTTGATGTGAGGTAATGTTCACAGCCAGACTATTACATGTGCTAAGGGTGTCTGTGCGGCACTTGAGCACTTAACTGTAGTACCTTGAAAAGTAGATTTAATATTGAACAATTTCAGAAGCAGACATGTTTTTTAAATGAATTTTCATTTTCTAAAATGGCAAGATACTTTATTTTTAAAATCTCGTTATTTTAACACTGCATCGTTAGGTGTGATTTTTGACATCCCAGCAAGGCAAAGCTGTAAGCTCACCAGATGCCATTTAACTTATGGTGCATTTCGTCAGATCTTCTTTTACACAGTGCATGCAAGCTTAATATAACTTCCACAGCTCTGGAAACTTTGTTTTCAGGATTGCAAAATGAAATTGTCTGAGCTTGTGGTGCAAATCCCAGGACAGAGATTTCAAAAGAGAGTTTTGGAATTGGAGTATTTTTATCATGAGCTTTTTAGCAGTTAGGAGAGGGCTAAGCCAGAACCCCAGGCTCAGGTGTGATACTCCTTCCTTGCTCCCACCCGTGTCCTCATTGCACACATCTTTTATGCGGCCTCCTCTCAGTGCAGATGTGGGACAGGGTGACATGTCTGGAGTCAACACTCCTTCCAGGAAATCCAAGCAGATACGGCTGTCCTGAGGGGAACACCAGCTGTTCTGTGCAGGTCACACATGGGCATCACTTGGAAGCTTTTTAAAAAGTACCCATGATGGGGTCCCAGGTTTTCTCCTTTGCTTGGTCTTAGCACTGTGTTTCTGAAAGCCCCAGCAAAGCCAACATGAGGCCAGTGTTGAGGTCCATTGCTGAGGAGAGGCAGGATGCAGACTGTTGCTGTTATTGTCCTTTGTGTTCCCTCAGAGGCTCATGTCCTGGAAGGGAAAGGATGGCACCTTTTGGCTGTACTGTTCTGTGTGCCACTAGGTGCTCGTATCACGGACCCATGCTGGCTTGTCTTCAGAAGACGACTCATACAATTTGGTTGTTACAAATATGAGACATTTTGAAAAATAAATTGCATTCTGATTGGTGTCTTAAAATCCACATACGCTTTTTTTCTTGGAAATCTTATCCTGAAAAACATGCCTTCTGACAGGCATTGCCAGAAATATGCATGTGTTCACATTTTAAAAAAGAAAAATAAATAGAAAATATGTATTTCCAAGGAGAATAACTAGTACTTATTTATGCTTTTGAGCTGTCTTGAAAACAAATTATTTTATACTTTATGTGTCTGTGTGTCTAGTTGGAGGCATAGCACGCACTACTCGCTTGACCTAACGTGCACCAGGATTCTTCCTAAGATGAGAAAGAAGCAGTTTTATCCAAGGAGCCGGGCTCTGGGTGTTACTCAGCACAGTTTTCCACTGCGTGTCTGGGCTGTTCTGTGGTTCTCCTGTGGACCAGGCTCCTGTCAGAACCACATTACAAGCCCCTGCTTTGCTGACGCCTTCCTTAGCAACCCGTTCCAAAGGGATGCTTCTGTGTGTGTAACCGCCTTACATTTTCCATTTCTTCTATGAATGTGTAGCTTTCCAGACCTTAGACTGTACTCAGGTATTTCCAGCCTTGGTGAGTCTTCTGTTTTTGGATAGGAACTATCCTCTAGTTACTTAGAGACAGAATAAACCCACAATTGGTGCCCATCGAGTTGATTGAAAGGCAGAAGATGAGTGTTGAGTTTTAACTGTGAGTGTGTATTTTCATCATATGAGGACACTGTTGGAAGTAGAGGTAGAACAGAGAGCGAAGGTGGGCCAGAGCAGCCCGGGTTGCTTTGGGCATTCACTTTGTCACACAACACCTTGTATAGAAAGCATGTGTCAGGCCATCCTGGTGGACCAGCACACTTGTACTAGTCATCTCTGTTCTGCAATATCCAAGCAAAAAAAGTGAAGTAAGTTAGTATTAAGAGATCTTCCTAACAGGTCCAGCTTTTTACCCCACAGAATTATGGCTCAAAGTTAGGCATGAAGGCGTCTAAAATGAAGAAAGGGCCATTTTAGTTCAGACATGAAGTTGCCACATATTGTAGGTATTTTCACTCATTGGGACTATGCTGTTCGTTGTTGAAAATTGTAAGAGGGGAAACGAGCACCAAGCTGGGCATGTGAGGCAGTGTCAAAGAAGGACGCAGCTCTTGCCTTCCACAAGCTTCTGGACCACTCTGTGGTATGATGGGGCAGAGATAGATGTGGGCAGGATGGAAAGAGAAGATGCTCTTGGAATGTAATGCGGAGATACTCTGAACTCTGAAAGCACACAGGAGGAGACGCGTTCTGGACTAAGCTGCCAGCCCACGGCAGGAGCGCACAAACGGTTCTCTTTGAGAAAACATAATCACGCAGTGCTCAGATCTAATTAGGAACTTTCACCAAAAGTTTTAGTGCCCTCATCCCTGGATATTCGTGCTGCTCCTTGTCCCTTAATCTGTGTGATTTTTGTCCTCACTGCCTGGAATGAATGCTGTCTTGGCCCATGCTCCCTAAGCTTGCCCATGGTTACTGCTAAGCCCCAGCTTAACCCCTCTTCTGTGAGGGTTTCCCACAGGGCTGGTTGCGCCCCTCCTCACACATTCACCCGCAACTTGTGCCATCTGCTCCCCTGCCTGTACTTCTGTCAAGCTCTGTGCCCCTTTAGGCTGCGGACCTTCTCTCCCTTTCTTTTCTGTTTTAGTCTTCACTTCATTCGCAGCACATGTACCAGCTCAAGACTTTTTCCACTTATAATTCTGTACTTGGCACAGGTTGGCATAGCTCAGTCATCAGATCTGAGGGCAGGACTCCAGGCTCACTGGGCAAGTTACCCTGACTAAGGTTGCTGTTTCCTCACCATCCCTGAGTCTCCCGGGCGGGCTGGCTGGGAGATGGAAAGCTGCCTAGGCCCAACACTGAGGGAAAGGTGAACCCAGTAAGGCTGTTCCCGGTGTGTGCTCTCAGGAATTTCTCACGTCTTGATTTCAGAGCAACCTCAGCTGTACAACAGAAGCCAGGCCTTGTCTCTTTGATTCCAGTACTGAAGAAGCACATCACAGCTATTTTGACACTGGGATGTGTTATGTGTGAAAATTCTAAACGGTGTGTAGACACCATTTTCCTCACTGCACTCAAATGACAGCCAAAGTGGTCTGAGGTGAATGAAACTGCTTGCCCCTGTCTCAGGTCTCTGAGATGCCGGATTGAGTGCCAGGCACAGAGAGAGATACTCTCTGTCTTTGCTGGGCTGCTGATGTTAATGGGAGTGTCCTGATTATCACTTTCCACCTTTGTCATCTCTCAGAGCGCTGAACAGATCACCACCCTGTGTAGGGGCCTTAAGGACACCCAAAGCAAGAGTATGGAAGGACCCAGGGAGAGTCAGGACCCACCTCTGAGGCCTCTGGCCCGCCACCTGTCTGATGCAGACCGCCTCCGGAAAGTCATCCAGGAGCTCGTGGACACGGAGAAGTCTTATGTGAAGGTAACAGGAAGTGCCGGGCATTCGCTCCTCTTTGCTGATGGGAAGTTGTGTTGTAGCAGAGGCCTCAGATCACCTCTGTCCGAGGCATCTGCCAATCATGAAGTAGGCACTGCTTTTGGAAACATTAGGGGAGGGAAGGGTGAAAAAGTGGAAGAGCTGAGAGGACCCAGAAAAATTTCGTTTCTTGGTTCATTTTGTTACCAAGGTAGCTCTCACTATGGAAACAGATGTTCTAGTTTGTCATTTGCAATCTGTGGGAGGGAGTCTGTACTGCTTTAGTAACGAAACTAGAGATCAGTTTAGGTGACAAGGAACTACGGAGTAATCTATACACAAGTGGCTGGATACCGGCCCCAGAGCCCAGGCAGACCACAGGCCATCCCTGCCCACGGCGGCCCGTGTGGAGTGGCGGCCCACACGCGGGCCTGTTGGTCATCACAGGCCCTGTGAGTGTTCTCAGCCCGTGGTGTGAGGTGCAGCTGCTGAGTGTCTTGAGTTCTCAGAGAAATCTTTTATCTCATCAGCCTCCAGTTAGTTATTGGTCTGAGAATCATATTATGGACAGAGGAACCTGGGAAAGTAGAGTTCTTTACGTATTTGCTAAAGCTTTGGAGGTACTTTAAATTTATTTTGTCAGTTACTGCAACCGCATGGCGCAAAGCAGCAGCTGAGAATCCGGGCCTGGCTTTGCACTTTGGGTGCATGTTGGGCATCCTTTGCATTGGGCCCCCCTGTTCTTCCAGGACTGCAGTGCTCAGTCTGAGAGTTCAGGTTGGCACACATGTGGCTAGTACCTTCTTTCTCCGCAAGACATACGTGAATGTCTTTTCATCATATCGCTGCTGTTTCCCTGGACTTCACCACAAGTCTTAGCCAGAGCTCCTACCTTTGGTCCATAGGGGAGAAAGAAAAACCAGCAGGGAAAGATGACAGTGAGTTTCATTTTCTATTACGTCCTCCCTTGCATCCAGTGTAGAGAGATGAAGTGGCCACCAGGAAGTTCAGAGTGTATCCACAGTGACCTTTGTCCAAGTAGGTCTGTGAGCTGTGGATGTTTTGGGGACTTCATAGCCCTTCTGATATTTTGAGAAACATCATGGAGCCCCTGCAGGCAGAGTCAGGAGCAGAGCTGAAAGTAGGACCTGAGTTCCATTTTTGTCTTCGTGGTTTTCTACCTTCCTGTGAGGCCACCCTGCACAAAGAGGGTGATTTCAGGGTGACGCTGGTAGCATTGTGAGGTGGATATTGTGGCCAAGTAGACAAGAGGAACCGACTCTCACCTCTCTGCAAGAAATGTGCGCTTTGTCTTTATAGGGCCCCTGGCTTCATGGCTCTGTCACCCCCAGCTCAGCGTGACCTGCTCTTGCTGTGCAGTAAGTCCTCTGAGCTGCCGGCCCCGGCCTGGATGGGAGTGACTGCTGCACTGCCACTGCCTGTACAAATAACCACCCTGGGTACCCACTGTGCTTCACATGCTCCCCACTGGTTTTAAATTTATGTTGTTGATATTTAACACAGAATTTCCTTTGCCATTCTTTAACCTGAATCCCTGCATGCTCCTTGAAATTTGCAACATTTGTGTGTTCCCCAAGATTGTATTGAGCGACTCCTCACATCTCAGGCTGTTGTGGAATGTGGTGAGGGACGGAAGTGTCTATTGGGAAAGCCCATCAGCATCCTAGGCCTGCCTTTGCTTTCAGAACCGGCACTGTGAAGGTTCTGGGAGTGCTCTCTCTGGGCCTTGCGAAGCTCTCTGGGTCTTAGATTTGTCCCTTGTAAGATGAGGGGTCTGTACAGCTGACTTTATAGTCCACTATGTCTAGCATTTTTGGACTCAAGAGTTCATCACAATACATAAAACATGGGAGAAATCTTTTCTATCTTTAAATTACTTTTCTGTCACTAAATTTTGTCTGGGCTTCAAATTTATAAATGAGAAGAGAACCTTAGTGGGTTCTGCAGAGATGGTGAATTCCCAGTTTTTTGTGCTTCTAGTGCCAGCTTAACTAGAGCCCCAGTTACGGCTTAGATTTTAAACATGACTGCTAATCTCTGGAAGCTTTTCCTTGCATCGGAACATCAGAGTTTGAAATTCTGCTGGTGTGTGAAGCCCAAACTTGAAGAGCTCCCCAGTCTTCCAGCTCCAGGCTAGCGAGAGCTGTCACTGTGCTCCCCGGGGCTGAAAAGGAAGCTGGCTGTCCAGTGGCTGTGGTCACCCCTGGCAGCAGTATGTGCTTAGCCACATTTCACTTCCCTCACAGAGAAATGAGGGCTCCCGTGGTCTAGAGATGGGCTGTTCTGTCATCAAGACCCTAAGCAGAGTATGTGAGGAGGCTGTAAGCAAATATGCAGATTCAGATGATGTCGGTAACAAGGTATTAACCTTCGCATTAGGTGAGCAAAAATAACCACTTTTAGGGTCTGGAATTTCAGCAAGATACACTTCATCACTCCTAATGAGAGTACGTGGAGCTACCGCGAGGGGTATCAGAATCTCTTGGGTATTTGAGAGATTGAAGTGTAAGAGAGCCTCCTCTTCTTCTAGGATCTGAGCTGCCTCTTTGAATTATACCTGGAGCCACTTCAGAATGAGACTTTCCTTACCCAAGATGAGGTAAATATTCACTTTTTCTCTATCTTCATTGAACCTTTGTTCAGGTCAGCGTCCATTCACTTTTTAGCACACCTCCTAGGGAACTATATACACTAGTTCCAAAAGAACATCTGAGAGTTCAGGTCTTCAGAAAGTCCCACATGTGACCGCCTCCTGTGTGATGTACATGGCCTCTTTGCATGAGCTCAATAGCAAATGGGTAACAGGCAGAAGGATGGTTTGTGCTCTTTTGTGTGGGGAGGAGGTACGGCTAGCATACTCCTCAGTGCATACATTTTTGATATTGACTCACAGCAAATAGTTCTTTTCTGTTGACTGCTATTTTTCCTGACTTGAATTCTAAAATTTTTTTATCCACTTAAAAAGTTATCTTAGACAAAAAGGAACTGTAGTATCTGGAGCTGCAGTCTCTCTACATATAACTTACACGCTGTTCTGTAAAGGGTTTGCCTCGGCCTCTTTCCTGAGAATGCTTCCTTGTGCTTGATGTGTGGGCCGAGAAGTAGCAGGCCTCTGGCCTGTCCTGGCTAACCCTTTTCAAACCCTACCTTCACCTAGATGGAGTCACTTTTTGGAAGCTTGCCTGAGATGCTGGAGTTTCAGAAGGTCTTTCTGGAGACTCTGGAAGATGGAATCTCTGCTTCCTCTGACTTTAATATGCTGGAAACTCCTTCACAATTTAGAGTAAGTATTTTTACACTTGGACTTAAAACCAAAAAGAGGTATACGTGGCACAAGTTTTTCCCTTTTTTTCCTTATCAAGATAAATTTAATGTTGGTATTTTTCCCCCTACGGGATGGTAAAAGAAGGCACTTTTTTCTTTTAGTGTAGTTGCTTCCACCAATCAGAAGTCTGGGCCGCTCCACCTCTGTGGAGTCACCTGGTTGTTGACCATACATGCGGTCTTTGTTTTCCTTTTTTTTTTTTTTTTTTTTTTTGTTCTTTTTGAGACAAGGTCTCACAATGCAGTTCAGGCTGGCCTTGAGCTCACCTTGTAGCCCAGGCTGGTCTTGAACTTGTGGCAATCCTCCTGCCTCAGCCTCCTGAGCACTAGGATCACAGGTGTGTACCACCATGCCTGGCTTTGTTCACCTTTCTGGAAGGATGTGTAGTGTGATAACTTCCAAAGCAACAGCACCTACTCCATACCTGGGGAACTAGGGCGGAGAGTAGGTTTCAGATGTTCTGGTTGAGGATTCTCTTCTGTGTGGTGGCTGAGTTAGTGCCATGGCTGACAGGAAGTCCCTGCAGCGATAAGGCAGAAAGCAGTAGAAAGGGGGCCAGGAAGTATATGGCGAGCATCATTCATCCCAAGTGCCCGAGAATTGGTTCTGTTAGTTCACTCCTGGGGTGTCTGTAGCCCGCCTTGCCACACTTATATATCTTAGCACGTTTTTGTCCGGTGGCTGCACGCTTGGGTCCGAAGGCTGTGTTGGCAGAAATCTTTCCATCAAGCTGAAGATCCACTGGGGGCATGCATGCGCTGATCCCTTCTGCTGAGTGGATGGAGTGGTCCTGGGCTTCCTTCCTTCATGACTCCCAAAGCATGAGTGCTGTGACACCTGGCAGACGGTGCCATGGACCAGGCACACACATGCCGAGCAAACCGTGTCTGATTTGACTTTTTCTCCTCCCCTTCTAGAAGTTGCTCTTTTCCCTTGGAGGCTCATTCCTCTATTATGCGGACCATTTTAAACTCTACAGTGGCTTCTGTGCTAACCATATTAAAGTACAGAAGGTTCTTGAGCGAGGTGAGTTGTTTGTACCTTGATAATTGTGCTTTTTGTGCCGTTAACTGTTAATAAAGGGCAATCCATATTTAACAATGTGGGTAAGTGCAATTTTAGTGGATTTTTTGGCCTTAGAAGTGACAAGTTAAAGGGAATATTTTCAGTTTATTTCAATTTGTTCGTGGCAGGGGAACAAATGTCCTTAAGAGCAGAGACGCTGCTTTGTCATGCATTGCTTTGCTGTTAAATTGCATTTGAACTTTTCCTCACTGCATTCCAGTCTCCCAAACCTCACAACCCTAATCCTTGTGTGTGGTCGAGAGAAATGGATAGCTTTCTGTTCTTGTTTTGTCAGCTCTATTCTTAAATCCCACAAGCTACTAGAAACTACGACCATCAAACTCACAAGATGTGTTAGCTAAAATTAAAGTCTCTTTGGTGGAGTTAGGAAGAACATGTTTCTTCGAGGGTGCTGCTCTGTGGTCCTTCTCTGCACTGTCATGGAGGGTTTGGAGACTGTGTTTAACCATTTCCACTGTGGCTTTGCTGTTTGGCTTAAAGGCAAAATTTCAGGGGACTGGGGATTTAGCTTAGCAGCACAGTGCCTGCCTGGCAAGCGCAAGGTCGTGAGTTCGATTCCCAGTACCGGAAAAAAACAAAAAAAAAAAAGCAAAATTTCATAGTATCTCAGAAGCCCCCAGTTTAAAAAAATGGAGTTGTGAGGTGCTTGTATTTAACAAGTCCCACGCAAAAATCCATCTTCTCCAGCCACTTTAAACAGAGGTCTAACTCCACTGGCATTTTGTCCCATAAACATCTTAAAGATAGTCTACAGGAAGGTAAGAGCATACAACGCTGTATTCCTCCTTTGTCATAAAGATGAAAAATCATTTCACTGTTGACTGGGTTAGGCAGGCACTTTCCAAAACGGTGCTGTATCTCCTGGCTGGAGTTACAAACCTATGGTGGCAAACCTATGGCACACGTGCCGCAGCAGGCTGTTTGCTATTCACTGAAAGCTTGTAAAGGTTCACTGACACTGTCCTAGATGCTGTAGATTTTGCTCTTGACACAGACCTTCAGATATCTTCATTCAGACTGGATGCACTCCCCAAGTAGATGGCCAATGAGCATTGACTAGTTGAATCCAAAGCAGCAGCGGGTGTGTTCGTTGGCACCCATACTAAATGTACCCGATTCTTCTATGTACCCTTCATGGCACCCAGGCATTGAACAGGAAGGCAGTTCTCGTTGCCTGAAGCGTTTTAATATCATACCTAGAAGAAAGGAGCTGCAGCCCTGATGTGAGAATGTAGTCTGCTTGGAGCTGTGGAGGCGGCTTCAGGGATTACCTACGTCATTTCCAAGGAATAATGATACTGCTTTTCAATTCAGGATCAACGAAAACAGGGCTAGTGAGGCCAGTGTGAGAAACTCTGGCCATTCTGCTATGTGACTCTCTTTGTAGGATATAGCATAGGGTCTTCATAACATTGGTTTGTGGCTTTAAGAATTGTTTTAAAGTCACTTTTTTGTTACCTCTAGCAGTATCTCTCATGAGTAGGTATGAATTATATATACATTAAGTCAGACCCTGCCACATGGGCACTGGGTGTTCTCTCTGGCATGTGGCCTGTACTCCTCTGGTATCCCAGTAAGCGTCCTTCGTTCCCTGGACTCATTAGACCCAGGTGCTGAATCCCAGGTTGAGAGCTCGGTGCTTGACCCGCTGATGTGCCTTGATGATTATTAAAGGGTGCCATGAGGACCATGGAAATGGGCAATTGAAAACAATTGTTAAGGTAAATGATATCATATATCCAGCTGTGCTCTTCTAAGCGTCTTTTATTCATTGCTGTAGCTAAAACCGATAAGGCATTCAAGACTTTCCTGGATGCCCGGAACCCCACTAAGCAGCATTCCTCCACCCTGGAGTCTTACCTTATCAAGCCGGTTCAGAGAGTGCTCAAGTACCCTCTGCTGCTGAAGGAGCTTGTGTCGCTGACGGACCGTGAGAGTGAGGAGCACTACCACCTGACAGGTGAGGCTGGGACGGCGCCGCTTGCCCTCCGTGCCTACAAGCATACGTTTTCCCTTGCAGGGCTGTGATCTGAATTATTTGTCACTACTGTGATCATTCATCTTGGTTACAACATGCATAGGGGAAAAAATATCTCGATACGGCCATCCCATTTGGGTGTACAATACCCTTTGGTAAAAATGATCTCAGTGGAGGGCCCCAAACTCCTCTGGCAGGGTGACTCTAACTTTTTAAGAGTTAACTTAAGCTCAGTGAGGTCAATAAATTAGCTCACGTTACTTGGCTAGTAAACAGTGCCATCAGAATTGAAAATTAGACCTCTTTTCTATCACTCCTGTAGTGGTGTTTGCTGCCTAGTGCTGCCGACCACATGTGCTGCTCAAGGCGCCACCTTGTGGACTTTTCTGAGAACTCCGCTCTGAAACTAAGGGCCCATTGACAGGTTGTGCTTATGTGGAACATGCTGATGTGGTATCATCTGTAACCTTTGACATTACTGGCCTGTCGTACAATTTGACAAAAACACAGAGACCCACAGTTTGAGAGAAGGCTATCCATTAGAGAAATGCTTCATTCAGACTAGAGGACTGGGAGGTCCAGTTAATCCATAAAATTCCTAGGGAGACACTTACACAGGTTAGAAGTACTGAATCATAATCATCATCATCATCATAATAACAACAATGAGAAGATAGTAAATTAAACATGTTCTTCCATGACCAACATACCTTGGGTCTTATAAGCAATGAAGACAAAAACTGTTTTATATGAAAGTTAAACTGTACAAGTCATACAAATTATGGTAAGTGTTCGAGTACAGTGTGAACAGTTCATTTTGTATTACAGTGGTCTTTATAAGGACTGTTAAAAACTCCCTTCCAGACCGCCCTCCTGACTGAATTAAAATACTAAATCTGGAGAGCAAGGTATAAAAAATAATTGAATTTGGAGGTGAACTGAAATTCTGCTTCTTGACTTTGACAGCATTTTGTTCTTCAGATGCCCTCATACAGACTATAAACACAATGTATAAATGCAAACAATGTCTCTAAGCAGTTAAGTGTTTAGAAAGACATCTATAAATTCTAATTTTAAAACTTCACTGTGCATTCCAGTCCTACTAAGTTATTCCAGGGGAGAAGCAGAATAGAAGAGCACATATTTGAGGCAGCCTGACTTGGACTGAGTGCTGGCTGTCCCCGTTGTTTCTCTCCGGAACTCTGGCAAAACACCTTGCATCTCTTTGTGGAAGGGTTTCCTCTTCTCTAAAATGAAACTGGTTAAGTCAAGTCTTGTGTGGATAAAAGTCACATAAATATCCTGACACATGCTAAGTAGGTAGTGTTGAGTAAGTGCTAGCAACTTTACAGTCTCATTTCAAAGAGAATTTGAGGTGGAAGATAATTCTTCTTCTTTTTGATGACAGAGGTACAATGGGCTGTGGTGAGCTATGTGTGAATAATGCTGCTGTTGGTGAGAACAGATCTGGAATCCTGGTTTGAATCTTAAGCTCTCAGTCACTTTGTTCTTGCTAAGACACTATACCTGACACCCAGAACTTAAAGGAAGAGGGGCTTATTTTGGCTCATGGTTATGGTCCACGGTCAGCTCACTGCAGGGGAGAGAGGCAAGGCAGAGGCATACTGCAGGAAAAGCTGCTTTCCTTCATGGCGTCCAGGAAGCAAAAAGAGTCAAGGGAGGAGCCAGCAAGGGAGCTGTATCCTTCCTGGTCACTCCCACAGCCTGCCTCTTCAAACCAGGCCCCGCCTCCTAACAGCAAGCAGTCAAAGTACACCCCCATAATCCACCATCTTCCAAAGGTCCCACCTGTGATCTCATGAGGCTGTAGGGAGAAATCTAGAGATAAACTATAACTTGCTCTTCCTTTATTGCTATTGGATAGTTGAACAATAAATACAATGAAGATGATTTCTTATTTTGCAGAAGCACTCAAGGCAATGGAAAAAGTAGCGAGCCACATCAATGAGATGCAGAAGATCTATGAGGATTATGGGACCGTGTTTGACCAGCTGGTTGCAGAGCAGAGCGGCACAGAGAAGGAGGTCTGTGGGGCTCGGGACTCGGGCCCCATGTGTGGTGGTGGTGGGGCTTAGGTGACTCGTTAGGACCCTGTAGAACTTTGGAAAATGCCACAATTTTCTTTTCAATCTAATGTATGCAATAAAGTATTCAGTTTACAAAGAAATGAAACAAAATGCGTTGCATTGATCTAAAAATGTGGACTTACGTTCGCATTATACAAAGAAGACAGAAGAAGCATCACTGAGCTCAGATCCTTCCTCCTTTCCCATGGACATGAGGTCTACCAATCCCAGGGGCTGGAACAGAGGGTGGTTTGGCCAGGGAGGGGGAGAGGATGGGAGGAGGAGGACAGCATATGGAGAGAAATCGGGCTTCTCTCTTTGAAAAAATTTTTTCTTTTAAAGCATCAAATATTGGTAGTCACTGCTTACTTAAAACAGTCCAAGTGGAAGATGACATTTTCTGTATATATTCTTTTTTTGATCTGATTGCTAAATTTAGAACCTTGTGATTCCAAAGCTGCCACACGAAAAGCAACACAGTTTAAGTAGACAATGACAAGAAAATGAGCCAGAGTTTAATTTTTTTTTAAGATCTGTTTCAGTGTTGGTGATTTATTAGCAGGCCCAATACAGTTTGGGAATCAGAGATAGTAAACATACTAGATCTGTGGCTGACCTTAACGCAGGGTTTTGGATGAACGCTGATCCCGTCGTAGAACTGTTAAGGAAATGGAATTGCTTATGAGGCACATCTTGCACACATGTACATAGGTGTGCACTGAAACAGCACGCTTTCCCCTTTGTGTTATTTACCAACCTGTGTAGCATGAAACCATCTACCCCAGAGTTTCCACATCTTTATTTCCTGTTTTCATAATCTAGGTAACAGAACTTTCCATGGGAGAACTTCTGATGCACTCTACAGTCTCCTGGTTGAATCCATTTCTTTCTCTAGGAAAAGCCAGAAAGGACCTTGAGCTTACAGTATTCGGTTAGTATTCAATTCAGAAGATTTCCAGGTGCTAGAAGAGTTGCTGTGATGGTCAGTGACTGTAACATGGCCAGCCTCCAAGTAGTTCAAACACCATGGCTTTGCATACTCATTATCCTGTTTTTTCTAATGCTGCTCGACTTAGCCCAAGAATTATAGCAGCAGATCTCCAGAGGCTATTTGGAAGCTTGGTATCTTAATGGTTTGCTATATTTCAAAAATCTAATTCTCACTGGGAGTTGGGATAGTAGGTATATATAGATATTTTGTGGTCACTGAGATGAACACTATCAACTTTCAGTAAAACAAAAAAAGAATTCTAGGACCTTCTTTTAGATAATAGGTATTAAGTAGAATTTCTTCATAGAAGAGAAGAAACAAAACAGAAGAAAGTACTCTTTATTCACCCACATTTTTGGCATAATGGGATCTTAGCAATTTAGAGATTCATAAATTTGAAGAGCTTTGTTCAATAAGACATTCAGTTCTACTGTAACCCTGGAAGAGTTCGTATAAAATGAGATTTTTTTTCCCCTTTTCCTTTCTTTAGTTTTTAAGAGAGCTGTCATATTGGTTTATAAAGAAAACTGCAAACTGAAGAAGAAACTGGTAAGATGAATTACTTTTAATTAAAGCTACCTTTTCATGGCTATCTTTTCCTGTAACACTGGACTGCCGAGCCTGCTGTGCACCAGCCACACTGACTGTTGTTATTCTGAGAGGACAACCACATCAAGTTCCCAGAACCCCTCTGAGTCTCTCCAGAGGGAAGATACCTGCTTTTAAATAGATGTAGACAAATACTCATGTCCGGCCCTACACAGAAAACTGATTTATAGCACTGAAAATGCCCATGTTGTTCCACACTTATGGGAATCTGTGTAACTCTGGTTTGCTTTCAAATACCTTTTACCTCAAAACCAACCAACCACAAAATCCAAAGCAAAAAACCCCCAAATCATAGTTTAGCCCTGGATACCAGCCATCAGCAGTAATGGGAGAACATGGACATTGCTGCCTAGATACCTGGGAACTGAGGCTCCTTGAACTCTGATCCTGGCTTTTCCCTTGTGCCTGAGAGGTCTCAGGCACACATCTGAAGACTGGGTACACTCTGATTCACTGTGCCTTGGCCGCCCACGCTGCTGCATGGAACTCTGCACACAGGAGGAGATGAGGCTTCTACTAGCCGTGTACATGAGCTTCCTTAACCTTTTCTGTGGGGCCTTTTACTTTACAGCCCTCCAACTCCAGGCCTGCACACAGCTCTGCTGACTTGGACCCATTTAAATTCCGCTGGCTGATCCCTATCTCTGCACTGCAAGTCAGGCTGGGGAACACAGCAGGTAACTTGCGCAGTGAAAGTATTTTAAGACTTATTTGAATGGTGGAATAAAAATGTAGGAAAAGACTGTTTGTTGGGGAATAATTTTTGGTGTCTTTTAGTACAGACAAGGAAAATGAGGGTAGGAGAGGTTCTTTAGCTGTTTCTTGACAAACTTTTGGGAGAAACAAAATGCCAGTAGACAGCTTTTCTCTCCCAGTGACATCCCTTCATTATTTCTTTGTTCTTGTAATCAGTAGTTTTCAACATTATTCTAATTTTCTTGATTCCTTAAATTTGTTAAAGCTTGAAAAATTTAATTTTTTACATATTTCGATATAACAGAAAATCCCTTAAGGAGTATAGCAAGTGATATTTTAAAAGGCAGGAGGACCGCTGATCCTAGAAAATATTCAGAGATATTTCCAGAATTACCATGTTTTAGATCTTCAATTTTAAACTTCACAAGTGTTCTTACCCACGCATTTTGGCAAAGTTGTAAACTCTTGTTTCCATTTCCTTTTATGCAGGGACAGAGAATAATTCCATATGGGAGCTGATCCATATAAAGTCGGAAATAGAAGGACGGCCAGAAACCATTTTTCAGTTATGCTGCAGGTATTTCTTAGCTCCAAAAATAAAAATCCAAGTACAAACAAGAATCATGTCTTTTTTAAAAAGGGAGTTTTAGTGCCCCCTGAATTTTAATGATACCAGGGTAACCCTTTCCCTCAAAAGGTATCACAGAGTCTAGAGGGAAAATACATCAATTAGATATATGTACCCAAATTTTGGACTGATCACTTCTTGCCTGCCTCTGTAAGTGACGAAACTCAGGTACACAGAGGTTGGGAAACTGCTGTTGCTCAAGCCTTGAAGCTACAAAGCAGCACTGAGAAAGGTGGTGGCCTCAGGCGCACCAGGGTGATGCTATGGTTCTTTCCTTTCTCCTACCAGTGACAGTGAGAGCAAAACCAACATCGTTAAGGTGATTCGTTCTATACTGAGGGAAAACTTCAGGCGTCACATAAAGTGTGAGTTACCACTAGAGAAGACCTGTAAGGATCGCCTGGTACCTCTCAAGAACCGAGTTCCTGTTTCAGCCAAATTAGGTGAGAATTTTGCTAGCTCTGTTTATTCAAGAAATTATGAGGTTTCTTAAAAGGGTGTATACTCTTACAGCTGTAAGTTATTCTTGTAAATCATGGGGTAACTGTTTTTAAGAGACCTAAATATTCCTCTTGCTCCCACTCTTTTGTCAAACGTATCCACATCCATTGCCTAATGTCCTCTCTCACAAGCTGACACAGTCCAGACTTGGTATCTTATTTGCTTCTTCCACTAAGGATGTACATGAGTTCAGGGACTTTTACTTATTGCGATATTCTTAGGGTTCTCAACAACCCCAGGCATCTAGGTCAATATAGTCATTCCTTGGTACGCAACTGTTTTGAAACTCACTGAATTTGGTACTTGACCGATTCTGACATGAAAGTTCTGTCCCAGCACTTGTTTGGTAGTCCACCCATAAGCTAGAACTTGTGGCTATGGACTGCCTTGTGATTCGCTACATTTCCAGCTCACAGAGTTTGTCTGGTACTCATGGCACCTTCCAAAACCAATTAATGATGAGAACTGAGATGTCACTGTACTTAAATGAATTAAGATCGAGAAACCTCCTGTACCTGTTCTTAGTCAGCAAGTAATCATTTCAGACCACGCCATTCTTAAAATTTCTGCCTGTTTCTAAAAGTTCAGCTTTAGTTTCACAAATTTCTTTCTGTATTAGCAGTTTTATCTTTGCTCTTGATTTTATTTTATTTTAATGTATTTATTTATTTTTGGGTACCAGGAATTGAACTCATAACCTGACATTTGCCGGGCAGGCGCTGTGCCGATGAGCTACATCCCCAGCCCGTGCTCTTGATTTTAGTATTAAGCATATAACCTTTTGGCCATACTTTGACCTCTTCAGATTTATGTGTAATTTTTTCTCTTGCTAAAATAAGCTATGGCTATCGAAACTAACACGCTGCTGTTGTCTAGAGAAACACTAAAATTAAGAGTGCCCTTTCCCCTTGAGTCCAAGAGAACAAAGTTAAACACATAGGCCCAAGTAACTAAATATGTATATTACTAACTCTGAAAGTTAGCTACAAATTCTAGCAGAGATAGTTCTCATGAGAGACAGTGAACATTTTTCTGCTTTTAATTGAGCAGGAAGGGAAATAAACAAGGTAAGAAGGTATGCGTAGACATATGGTATAATCTTATCAGATTACACTGTTTAGTAAAAGAATGAAATCCAGATTTTATTAGTGATTAACTTCAATTTACTCCCTAGAAAAATAATCCTAGCCCTTAGAGTAGTTTATTCTTCCATTTAAATAATGAAGCTCTGGGAAACGAAAGATGCTGAATTCCTTCCACATACAATTTCAAATAAAAGTAAAAAATTGCTATGCTTGCAGTTTTTATGTTTTTGCCCAAATGACAGCATAGATGGTAATTAAACTCAGATGACAAAATAAAATCTTAAGTAATTAAGATGTTAACTCATATGCCCTGTGAAGCAGAAATGACACTGTGTAAGCTGTCTGTCACCCAAGGAAATGTGCTTTTCTCCATGCAGCTTCGTCCCGGTCTCTCAAAGTCCTCAGGACCTCCTGCAGCAGCGAGTGGCCCAGCGAAGCCAGCAAGGCCAACTCCCTGGACTCTGACGAGTGCAGCCTGAGCAGCGGCACCCAGAGCAGTGGCTGCTCTGCAGCTGAGAGCAGGCAGGACTGCAGGAGCGCGCCCCCTCCAGTGGGCGACCCCCAGGTGGGCGACCCCCACGAGGGCCTGGCCGACTTTCCCGACAATCTCATCAAAGAGAGTGATATTCTGAGCGATGAAGACGATGACTATCACCAGACTCTGAAACGGAGTAGCCCCACCAAGGACATCGAAATTCAGTTCCAGAGACTGAGAATCTCCGAGGAGCCTGATGCCCACCTGGGGGAGCAGCAGCCTGATACAGGGCTGGCCGAGGGCCTGAAGGGAGAGCAGCCCAAGCTGGTGCGGGCACACTTCTGCCCCATTAAACGAAAAGCAAACAGCACCAAGAGGGACAGAGGAGCTTTGCTGAAGGCGCAGACGCGTCACCAGTCCCTTGACAGCCAACCTGAAAATATCAACATTGATCTCAATTTTGTTCTAGAGCGAGAATTCAGTGTCCAGAGTTTAACTTCAGTTGTCAATGAGGAGTGTTTTTACGAAACAGAGAGCCATGGAAAATCATAGTACAGTTCCACCCAGAGAAGGGTTACATTGCTCACTTACTTTTAAACTGGTGGTAAAGTGGAAATTGCAGAAAAACTATGCCTCATTGGTTGTGTGCAGTATGCATTTTCCCACAAAACTGTAAAGATTTAAGTTATTTTAATTTATTGTGGATCAGGAAACTAGATTAAACTTGTCAGAATCTGTACATGACTTAGTTTATATCCCTTTTGAGCAGGTATCAAAATGATTTAGAATCCTGAAAACTGCATTCTGATTGTAAGTTATGTGGAGAAAAGGATGGGGAGGTTGTGATTAACAGCTTTCAAAAGGATCATTTTTTTTTTTTTTTTTTTTTTTAATCCTCTGGGCATTTTCTTTGAGCTGTTTTTGCTTTATTTAAAGTATATTTAAATTATTTTAATGTGGGTTGGGGTACAATATGCAGGTAGTTCATTTTTGTAGGGTTGTAATAGAGGCTGTTTATACTAAACATGTCATATCTATGTAGTATATATATTAAAAGCTTGTACTGTATCTTATTTGATATTTATTTTCTCTACCAAGCTGTACAGTAAAAGGAACATAAGTCACCTGGTCATTGGTATTTTCTTGTCATTCTGCAAAGATATGCACACACAGAAGCAGCTCCACACTGTGGCATCAACCTGTCCAGCAGAGAGCCCCTAACGCGGCATCTAGAGTCCACAGCTCTCTTCCTCCTCTCTTTCCAGTGGTTTGTCTTTTTTGTGCTTCAGCTCTTCTCTGAAGTTATAGCCAAAAAGCTGTGGGTCTTCATCACACATTTTTCTGTATACGTCACAGAGGCTCCTAAAGTGCAAAATGGAGAGCTGGGTGGGCCGAAGAGTGGGATCTATGTCTGCCAACCGTAACAGCTTCCCCGTGCTTTCCAGGCGCTGTGCTTCGGGGAATAACATGCTGAGGGAAGGGAAAGAAACCAGCATTTTACTTAAATCCCGTGACTCACGATGCTGTCTCCTACTCTCATTTGAAAATGATGCAGTTCTGGCAATTGTTCCTTGAGGGCGTGGCAGTGGCTACTGCAGCCTCTTGGGTTACAGTGCAGGCACCAGCAGTGACCCACTGGAGGCAGATCTAACCTGACTCACAGGGTGTGTCCACAACAGGAAAAACATTTTCCAGCACTAACTGATCTGTGCATTTTTAAGGTAAGTTTAAAGTAACATGTGCTCAGGTGAATTCTTGTAGAAATGTGTATTGATTTGTCGCTCATTTTATTTTGGTGGTGGTGGTGGATTGGTTTTTTTTTTTTGAGGCATAGTCTCCCTATGTATTTCAAGCTCGCTTTGAATATGCTATGTAGCCTAGGCTGGTGCTGACTCACATTTTGATGAAAGTTGTCTGTATTATTTCTTATGTAACAAATCTCTAATTTTGATTCTCTAACTTGCCTGTACCTTTGAAACACTTTGCCACAAAAGGGTGTCCTATTTAGCAAAGTTACAAAACAGCTGATATGAAAATATTTTATTTCCAAGCATGCCCTAATCCACCTTATCAGACATTGGGCCATTTCTAGTTCTTCCTCAAGTAAAAATGACCACAAAAGGTAAATGTTTTTAATTGATTTGGACATCAAAGAAGCCACAACAATGAAACTATTTAAACATTCACAATAGTTTTTGGTCAGACCTTGTACAGTTGTGTAAGTCATACTAAATAAGAGTTAACAGAGCAAACGGAGATTTACCATCCACCACATGAAATCTTCAAGGAGTTTTATAGTTGCAGTAGTTTCAGCATATAGCTGCCTAGCAATACCTGAAATAATTTCATGTGATACAAGGACACTTCCCATGACCATCAAGAGAATTAAAATGGAGCTACACATGGAAGTCTTAGAAAATGAGAAATGCATGGCTGTGAAGTTAAATGCTCACTATGTTACACGGAAGTCCTTTTAAAATGTGCTTTTCTCCTTAAACAGACAAACTGGGCCTAAGAAAACACCTTTTTACTCTCGTAAGTCACCGGAGGGCTCACTGAGGTACACAGGCTTTAAATCACTATGCTGCAGTGTTGCTGATGGGGGTGGCACATGCCCATGCAAAGTAATGAGTAGAACAGAGGAGTTCTGGGCTAAGTGAAAATGTGCTTGTGGGAAGACTGTCATGTTACTTACTTCCTAGCTTTCATGTGTGTTTTTAGCAGGTTCATGATGGGGCTGTATTTGTATGTTTCACTGCCAGGTGGCTTGAACCACTGGTGGTACCTGTGTAACTGTTCCACGCATGACTGGCCCACTTCTACCACCAGTGGTATAAGATGCCCAGTGAGACACGCTTGTACTACCTGCGGTACAAGCCACCCAAAAGGACATGATGCACAGACCACCAATGGTTCTTGGCGGCAGGATGACGTTAAAGAAGAGATTTGGCAACTCAGTGCAGAGCATGCCTTGTACAGAGTCACCTGGATCAGTCCGAGGCTGACTGAGAAATGGCCTCTTTAGCACAGGGTCAGCACGAGCCATGCAACTGTTTGCAGTTGTATTCTGGACCAACCCAACCCAACTTGTATGTAGCATTTAAGATGGCTTTGCTTGTCCTCAGTGGCAGGGGAGTTTTGCCCATCACAAAATCTGAACGAAGGTACATTTAAGAGCCAAAAGGTCAAACGGGAGAAGGCAGCATTCTTACCTCAGCCCTCGGTGGCAATATTTCCTTCGGAATTGAAATGCGTTCTGAACGACTTTTTCCACCAGCTTGAATGGCTGCTCTATCTTGGGCTGAACCAGAGGCACAAAGTGCACCACTCCCACGTCCACCTTCAACAGAAGCAAACGTGTATCGCTGTAGCATGACGGTAAACAATTCATCTTTGAAAATCGCAGGAACATGGGCTGCTGAGAACATGGTTTTCACAAACACACTTTTCCGTGTGCTCCTGTTTCCTGTTCCCAGGTTGCACAAGAAGCTATGTTGTGGATCCGAGATGACTCAGAAACCTTAGGTGGCTGCACCTACTCCATAATGACCACTGGACCTGGACCTGAGGATCACTTAATTTTAAAATGCAGTTTTACAGTGGCCTTTTACAATCCATTCAAATGCTCATTAAAGTCAGGAGGCAGACAACAGCATTAAGACATTTTGTTAGCTCTGAATGAGTAAAAACTAAGCTGCAGGAGCAGCTCTGACTGTAAGGCACAGCTTCAAGACAGAAAGAAGGCAGACAGCCCCCTGAGGCCACTAAGTGCTATACTCTGTGGAAAGAGAATCAATTAGGACACCACCTATTTTGGGTACAGACACTGATTACTCAGCTGGACTGAATTCACGTACATGGTCTGCAGAGCCACATCTCTTTCTGGAAGCACTCTACAGGTCCCAGGAGGGACAGGCAAGATTGAAACTGAAAAATCTGTCACTGTTTGACTGTTTAAGCTGCTACCAGCTGTTGAGATTTTTTAATTATCTGAACATAAAACTTTTCAGGCATATCTGGTAAGAGATTTATACCTGGCTTTAACCCCAAACAGGTTCACATTCAAAGGAAAAATATTGAAAGACAAAGGGAGAAATGGAGTCAAAACAGTTCTGACAGAGACCATGACCTGGAAAACAGGAAGTTTCTCCATGACTGACCAAAGCACTGGTCTCCAGGAATTGTTAAATTTGCCATTCCAAACATCACTTTCCAAAGGCTAGGAAAGTGCAGTGATTTAGCCAGCATGGGCTGTACTGTTGCTTTTCAAAAGGTCTACTTTTGAAAGTCCCATACAGGTTACCATTTCCATTGAGGAGGACGACTGTGTCTCAAAATCCATGTGGCTACACAATTCCTTATGAAGATGGGAGAGGACTGTTTTCAGGGTAAAGGAAAAACTAGCCTATCAGGTGACTTTGTGGACAAGAAATGAAAACATCCAAATAGGTGCTGTGCCACAGGGAGCCGCATCGGCTCCTGAAAGAGCTGACAGCGCTCTTCATGCAGGTCTGACATGCCCTGCCGGCCATCTGACCCCTTCTGCCTTGAACAAGCAATGATCTTGTCCCCATAGTTCCAAGTCACCTCAGCTGCATCTACTGGACACACTGGAAGGCCTGAGATCCCTGGGATGGTGAGGGTGGGACATGCTAGTGAGGTTCCACACGGCAGGGTAAGAACTACCAGTGAAAGAGGCCTTTCCTCACCAACAGTGCCTCCAAATATCTACCAGCTTTATGGAAGATTTTATGGTGGGACAGTAGTTAAGGACAGCAACAGCTTGAATACAGTGTTACATGCCTCCTCTCTCTGGTTCCTTTCACATCTGAGCTCACTGGCATGTGTGTGCTTGTGGCTCAGTCTGCCCCCTTTACAGCTCATGTTCTCTATCCTTGTCCAGCCAATTCTCCCACATGACACAGTCAACTCTGACAGGAAGGCCATAGTCACCAGGAGTGAGCAGACAGCCTTCAGTCTCCAGATAAAATTATCTTCCAGCACAGTAAAGCATGAGATAAAATTTAACCCCTACACAACCCTGACAAAACTACACGATGTCCAAATGCTGGAGACAAAAGGCGCAAGTTCAGGCATGGATGCAATCTCTCTTCAGCCCAGAGTCTGTCACTTCTGGCTTCCCTGGATTTTAAAATACAGTCTCATCTTTATTTGCCTGATTTCACTCCTTTAAGATACAGTTGGTGCTTGCCAGTACAAGAAATGACTAACTGGTTTTGTTTACATTTCTGCAGGCTGAAACCATGCATAAATACAGCAGCAGCCTATGTAAATTAGAGCAAAATAACTTAGAATTGAATTCTGATACCTAGTTAAATTGGCTAACACTGTATTGCAGCAAAAAACAACAACAACAACAACAAAAAACCAAAACTACAAATGGCAAATAAATATATGAAAAAATGTTCAACATCACTGGTCATTCAAGAAATGCAAATTAACACTGAAATTCCCTCTCACCCCAGAAAGAATGGCTATCATTAAGAAATCAACCAATAATAAATGCTGAAGGGGCTGTGGGGAAAAAAGGAATGCTACTCCCCTGTTGGTGGGAGTGTAGACTGGTGAAACCACTGTAGAAATCAGTGTGGAGACTCCTCAGTAAACTGGGATTAGAAATCCCATTTGACCCAGCTATTCCCCTTCTGGGTATTTTTCCAGAAGAACTGAAAACATCATACCACAGTGATACATGTGCACCCATGTATAGAGCAGCAAAATTTATCATAGCTAAATCATGGAAGCAACCCAAATGCCCATCAACTGAGGGACGGATAAAAAAGATGTGGTGTTTTTATACAATGGAGTATTACTCAGCTATAAAGAAAGATAAACTTGAGGATTTTATAGTAAATTGATGCAACTACAGACTGTACTCATACGTGAAATAAATCAGACCCGCATGTGTAAACATCGTATTGTCTCCCTACTATAAGAAACAGAAAAAGTAAATAAAATCCAAAAGGTACACTGGATATTATGAAAGGGAAAGAAACTGCTCAAAAGGAAAGAACAACTGGGATGGGGGAAAGGAAAAAAGAAAGAAGAGAAAAAATACATATAAATGCACACAAGATAGCTAAGATAATTGCACTACTAATTTCTATTGGTTTATTGAAAGGAACAGTTAATGCCTAATTGTATGATCAATTTTGCATGCCTATATCTGGTAATCGAACAACTACTCTGAAGATAATGACATGCAGTATAACAACCATTGTTAATTTCCTATCATCTTGTTTTGAAATTCTGTATCATTTTTATTTTTCTTTAATTCTCTTTAAAACTTAAAAAGAGAAAACTCCCACTTATAAACACAGTACTGTACTATTTCGTGCAGGACTCTGCAGTACTCAGTGGCAAAAAAGCTCGGCCAGTAAGGTTACTGATTCAGGGCGAGGGGACCCTCCCGTCTACCCTTTCCTCAAACCCTTCCCCCAGAAAGACTTCTTAGAATTACTCTGAATGATGGAGACCATTACTCTAGAACCACAGGAAGGCTGCTTAGTAACTATGGTAACAGATACAGAAATGCTTTTTACTTATAATTGAATGCTTATTCAAAATTACAGCCATTATTTTCTCTTCCTTGAGTTTAAAGTCTGTTAAAGGGTTAGATTAAAAAAAACAAACAAACCAATATAAAGGAACTAGACACACTTAAAATATTCCAGCTTAATGCTGCCAGCCCCTTTGCAAACCCAATTTGTAAGGACACCAAAACGACGGAGAAATAGTCCAAGTTAAGACTATATAATTAACACATCATGCTGTCAGCACTGTATGAAGCTGTTCCTCAATACCATCAGCTGTGGCCATGACAGGCCCAGTACCTTCTTTCTCCAGGCCACTGTGTCTAGGATGTGAGTGGGTATCAGCTCAGAGCAGCACTTGGGACTCAAAAGGGACCATGGGTAAGAAGCTAGTAAATATCATTATAATTCAAGTGTCTAATCAGGATGATACATTGGCCACAACAAAGACTGTACAGGCTAGTTGCTGATAACATGTTGAAGAGGCAACTCACTACCATATTGACGCAGACAAGTGAGGCAGGCTGTATTCTAAGGAAGGGGCTCCATTCAATACCCCCCTAGTGTTCAAGACCAGGATAAGGACAAGCCAGCAGTGAGGAAAAAGGACTAGGAGATTACTTTTTAATCAGCCAACATACAGCGATTAAGTGAGAAACAACAGAAGGCATGGTAAGAGGAAAAGGCTATAGGGAATACTCAATACGGGGCCAAGAACAACACAGATGGGCTCCAAGTGTGGAACGGTAGTGTCATGGATGGGGCTGGGTGCTCAGGAATGGGAGGCATCTGTCTGGTGTTGAAAGCTGTTGGCAGCATCTGGAGAAGCACAGGACAGGGACTTGACCTTCAGGGGCAGGTGAAGGTACAGGAAAGATAAGCACTCTGGAGATGCCGGTGCTTCTTCAAAGATCTGCACCATGCTAATAACAGTCTCCATCAGGACATTTCAGGCCCTGACGCTATAATTTAGCTAGGTGAGGATAACAGGGTGGCAGGTCATCCAAGACTATGAGCTGACAATTATATGCTTCTTGGGAAACTAAAAAAATGAAATGTGACTATAGAAAAAATTTCTTAGAATTCGTTTACCCTGTCTATAACCCTTTCCTGAAACGCAATTCAAGGACAGAATTTCAGTTGTAAAACTTTAAAAGTATTCCAGGTACTACAAACCAATGTATTCAATAAAAATTTATTACCCTCCCAATACTTAAGTATCTTTCTTTTAGAGTCTACAATATGCACGTTACTATAACCATATTCATTTCTGCAGACGTTATTCACTACCATTTTCTTCTGCAGATCTTTGGTTTTCTACCTTTTCACAATCATGAAAAAAAAACAACAGATTTTGGACAGTCAGCATTCCTTCTCAGAGCATGAGCAGCAGGAAGAACAGGGCCCGAGACGAAGAGTGAGTGTGGATCACAAGGAGAAATGGTGCTGAGCAGCACACTGGTGAAGGGGAGAGCGGAGGGGGCTTTTGACTGTGTGTGTATGTATGTAAATACACATACGAAAGTAGGAAAATTACGCGTTTAGTAATAACGAGATGAATCAGTGCCTCCTGATCCAAAGAGATGAGAAAAATTCAAGGAAGTAAACACTTAATCCTAAAAGTAAAAGAGGAACAAGAATTAAACTGATTAGAATTCCCTTCTTTTTAATTTTAAAGAGACAAAAAAAAAGGCCCAAAAAAACCCCCAATAAAAATGCTGATTAGAATTTGTCTCATTTAATCTAGAGTTCCTGAATGATCCTGGGGGAAAAAACTTTTGAAACC